AGCAGTTAGGAAGTCTCAGAAGCAATTTCCAGGATATTATTAAATATTTGTCTTGTTTTTTCTAAGCATTTTCTAGGAAGGGGAAAACCACCATTTCTCCTGCGTTTTTTCTAGGCACTTTCTTGGAAGGGCAAATCATTCTTTCGGGTGTTGCTACGAAGGCTCGCGAGGATCATAAGGAGTTTCGACGAGGAAACCATTCTTCACTGTTAAAATTGCTTCTTCCCCATGTTTTAAACTCTCTCTTCCTCCATAACCCAGTTTCCTCTCTGCAAGCTTTAAGATCTTAATTTTCCAGGTACACATATCCATACATGTATTTTCTACTATTTTTACTCATTCTGCTTGAGGCATAAAGACAAATTAAGAAATTTTTTTAACAATTTGTTAGGGTATATATGCTTTATTTTATAGATCAGATGTCTTTAACTAATTTCTTATAATTTAATTTCCTCAAATTCGTTATTTTTCTCCTCCTGGTTTGTAGAATTGTGGCAGTTGTTTTTGCGCCGTAAGTACTCTGCGCAAGGACTAGAGAGGTCTGCTTGCTTTTCTTCGTTATTTTAATCATTCAAATTTTCAAGCCTGATGAATTGAGGACCAGGTATGAGATATTTTTCTATGTAAAAGAATTTAATTTAATATATTTTGCTTCTAAGAATATCATAAAATAAAATATATGGAGGACAAATATTTAAGTGTTACTACTTTTCATGAATAGAAGCCAGCATAGTACAAGTTGTTGCCTATTTTTCATTATTTATAATTTAATATTGTATTTTAATGTTAAATATTAGTAACGGGTTGAGGTTATTGTGAAGTGTCTTTTACTGCTCTTTTTTCCCCTCTAGAGGATAAATATATTTTGTTTTTTTAGTAGAGTTTGTATTGTATTTTTAACCACAAGTTACCATTAGATTCTCAATCACTCCATACCAAAAAAAAAAACCTTTTTATTTCCTTTTTTTCTTATAAATATACACTACTTGAAGGAATACTCTAATAATACTCCATTTTATTTCATTTTAGCAATTTTCTCCATGAAGTCTATTATAGGGCAAGTTTTTGGAAGTGTTCGTGAAAGAGTTCTTGATCCAGTTTCTAAAAGAATTAGTGAAATAGCTTGTGAAAAAATTCTTGGAGTTGTAGGAGAACACGTAGATTGTCACATAAACTTCCAAAGTTATGTGGATGATCTTAAAAAAGGAGTGGGAGACTTAAAACGTAAAAGAGGTGATAAAGAAGCAGAATTAAGAATAGTGGATCACTCAGAAAAAATGGTCAAAGAAGAAGTGCAGGGATGGCTTGATGGTGCAGGGAAGGTCATTGATATGGTAGATATTGAGGAAGAGCTTGAGAACGTTTCATACCTGTCACAGGGTAGCCTTGGAAGACGTGTTCGTCAAAAGACGCAAGAGGTGAGAGAAATTCACAATCGAGGCAATTTCACTGAAGGTCTTGTAATTGAAAGGCCTCCATCTATTGGAATTCCTTTGCCAACAGAGAATATGGTTGGTAAGCTTGATGTGAAGGAAAAAATTCGCGGATACTTGAGAGGTTGTGAGGGAATAATTGGAGTTTGTGGAATTAGTGGAATTGGCAAAACTACTATTATGAAACACATCCATAATGAATTATTGAATGAGGCTACTCAGTTTGAAAAGGTCATCTGGGTCACAGTATCACATCCACTCAATGTTGTAAGATTACTAGGTGATATTGCAAGAAAAATGAACAAAGGCCTTCGAGAAGATGCAGATGAATTGGAGCGGGCATCAAGATTGATGGAGATTATGAAAACAGTGAAATATGCATTGATCTTAGATGATGTGCAAGATAAATTTACTCTTACAAGAGTTGGAATCCCAAAACCAACAATGGAAAATGGGTGCAAAATTGTTATTACTAGCAGATTAGTTGCTGTGTGCAACTACTTGAGCTGTCAAATAGTTAAGGTGCCACCTCTTTCAAAGGAAGAGTCTTTCAACTTGTTTTTAGATGAGGTTGGGTCTGATGTTCTACAAATTCCCAATTTGCACGGGTTTGTGTGGAGGTTGATTTAAATGAATCTCTTCCATCTATGATAGCTTTAGATCTTGAGGAGCTTCCTCAATCGTTGATTTTG